ATAATGTTTATAAACCTTATATAATTAAAAAAGTTGCTTCATTACAGCATGTACAGCATCATGCATGCATGTATAGTTTAATAGAAAGGACCGAAAACCAATCACAAAGAGTACTTTCTTCATTTAAAAACTTGAGATGCAGTCGGATGGGGGAAAGCCGCCATAAAGTCTTGAGACATGTTTTTAAAAAGTTGAACTTACATAAATTTTCCATGGCTTTCTAAACATCTCTTGTGCGAAACGCGAGTGCAACGGTGATAGATGTCCCTCTAGAAAATGTGCTAAATATGCGTTGTGTGTGAACGGTTTGGTTTCGGTTTTGATGTAAACAACATCATCTCCGCATTGATGTTCTTTTTTCCCGCAATATTGTGAATGAACAACGTAGCAGCGCCGCATCTAGTGGGTTCAACTGGATAGACTAACAAAAACATTAAAATGCAATGACACTTACATCGTCGTCGCATTTCGTGCACCACTGATAAGGCTGCCTGACGCACACCTAAAATTGGGATTTTTATTTTTAATTCGACGAATATTCGAAATTCAAATTTTTTTTGACAACTCTCTTATGGGAAAAGATAATACTGATAATTTTTTTTTACAGAAAGAGTATAGTTTTTGGAGCAAAGTTCAAAAACAATAACTGTAAATAACATTGAGTGGTAAAAGTTGGCTAAGCTAGTTAAGGTTAGCATTTGCTAGTTAAGACTTTTATTTTCCATTTTGCACTGAGCTTTACCCCATAACGTTCCCCAAAACTTTTTAAAACTGGGTAATGTGTGTGTGCACAAATATATATATAGACATATATACAGTGGGTACGGAAAGTATTCAGACCCCCTTAAATTTTTCACTCTTTGTTATATTGCAGCCATTTGCTAAAATCATTTAAGTTAATTTTTTTTCCTCATTAATGTACACACAGCACCCCATATTGACAGAAAAACACAGAATTGTTGAAATTTTTGCAGATTTATTAAAAAAGAAAAACTGAAAAATGCTCAGTATTTAGTAGAAGCACCCCTTTGATCTAATACAGCCATGAGTCTTTTTGGGAAAAATGCAACAAGTTTTTCACACCTGGAATTGGGGATCCTCTGCCATTCCTCCTTGCAAATCCTCTCCAGTTCTGTCAGGTTGGATGGTATATATATATGTATGTATGGCTTGCTTTCGATATATACAGTCAAACCAAAAATTATTCAGACACTTTCAACATTTCACACATTATCACAGTTTGTTCGCTATAGTTTAGAAAATGGTAATAAAATATGACAAGAACTCAAGAAAAAACTGAGTCAGAACAAATTCAGCTTGATAAACCAAATACACAAAATAATGTTCTTTTTAGCAGCATCATATGACCCCTTTAATGACAGTCTGTAGTCTCCTGGACATGCTGTCAGCTTCATGCAAACCTCAACTTCAATTTTTTTTTTTTCCCAGAAAGTGTCTGAATAATTTTTGGTCCCAAATTTTAATCAGTTTTACTAGTAATCCACTCTATGAATAATTTTTGGGTATAATATGTCACAGTTTATTTTATTTTGCTATCCTCACTTACATAAATGAACTATAGTGTCCTGCACCCACTAGTAAAAAAATATCAAAAATTATATCTGGTGCCTGAATAATTTTTGTTTTGACTGTATATGGCTTTCAAGTAACTTCAAGTGTTGAAGTTTAAGTGTTGAAGATGCCCATATTTCCACATGGAAAAAGTGGAAATATGGGCATCCAGATAATTCTTGATGTTGCGTTTATAAGTGTCTAGACGGCAAGAGACTGGATTGCAATAAAACCACCTGCCCTTTGTGCGAGACAGACAGACGGGACCACACAGTAGGAGTGAAGAAAGTTCCGGAGGAAACAGGGAAAACTCATTTAACGATGATGAAAACATCAGTGCTATGCTTGTCTTTGTAGAGGCAGCCAGCCAGCCACATGTATGCATAATACATAACATGCGTAGCATGTAACATCAAAGCATTTCAAAAATGATACTTTTAAAATTCTGTTTTCGAAATCTCATTTATAACATTAATTTGTCATACCTCACCACATGTCTGACCCAGTTTTTCAGAAAACCATATTATATAAGACTGTACTAGGAAAATACATTATGGGCTTCACATGTTTATGAAGCCTGAGGTAAAGGAAATAGGGATTATATTGTAGCATAAAGTCATGCCAAGCTGGTGCAGCTGTGGCCAGTAAATTAGGTGTTTGGTTGGCCTGTGGGCCATGCAGCCAAACCAAGAAGACATAAAGTCCACAGACAGCACATGTTTTAATAAATACCATAGGCAGCTGTGCAAAATTAAGTGTTAAAACAAGGGAAGGTCTCAGTTTATGGGGGTCTTACAGATGTGGGTAGTTTAAAGTGAAAGCTGGCATAGACGTTTATTAAATGCAGTAAATTGCAGGGCAGAACGCAAAGCTAAAATCACCCAAAACAATCAGTTCAGCTAAATAAAGGCTACTGAGCATTACAACGTGTTTGGGGAACTTACGTGTAATTGTCATCCTCCACAAACTTTTGGAGCTCCTCGATGTAGCGCACTGACATCAAATACTTCTGCACGTGTGGTAACATGACCAAATGATCTGTGGGGTGTGTAGAAATGTGGAGATGCAATTTGAATTCTCACATCAGTACACTGCGTGCAGGTTTACTGTTTATATTGTTTCCATTTAGATTTCCTTTTTTTCCCTTTAATGAGATCTGAACATTACATAATATGAAAAGAAAGATGAAATGTAAAAACTAAATGGTATTTCCATAATCACGCATATAATCAAATGAAAATGAATATGTTTTTGGAAGCAACTTACCATAGTTACAGGACACCTGTAGATCAGAGATGATGCGCAGTAGATTGTTCATCTGATTGGTTCTTTGCTCAGTCTCGATGATGCTATCAGAAGCAGGGTAGGCGGAGTCAATGTAGGTCATATCAAACAGGTAAATTCCTAATGTAAACAGAGAAGAAAACGTGTTTATAGACACAGGTAGAGAGGGAGATCATTTCATAATTAACACAAAAGGTGAAGATTTTAATACTTTCCAGTAGGGATGTAACAATTCACTCAACTCATGATTCGATTCGATTCGATTCACGATTTTGATTTCACGATTAGATTTTCTCACATTTTTTCTCACAACAAAATGAGATTGAAGACATTATACAGTAAATTAAAAGGTGCCATTTTATTAGGCTATTGCTACACGTTTCTTTGTGAAATTGAAATATAACAAAACTAGACATTTTAAAACAAACCCCAAATCAAACAAGTTACACAAATAAAATAAATCTCTTAATATGAACAAACTAAGGCTTTGTCTGTGCTCTTTCCATTTAAAATTAGAGGCAACCACTGGATTTTAATCATGATCCAAACAAAGATGCAGCATAGCCTGCATGCAGCATGAGTAGTTTTTAATCTAAATTAGGCTGTATAATTTCGAAATTTGAAGCAAAAACAGAATGGTCTGACTTTAGTTTTGTGAAACTATACTACATAAAACATATCTGAACGAAACCGCAGACGAGCTGAATGAGATGCAGATGCACTCTCTGACAGCAGGTGGCACTTATGAACAGCAATGATACAGTGTTTCCTGGGTTACCGCTGTAAACAAAGCAGAGCTGCGCTTATGAACACTACTTTAATATGCATTGTTCAGAGGCAAGATGAAAAGAAAATACCACGTAAACTTTTCTAAAGATAGTCAGTTCCCCTCAGAGATTCATTCATATAAACTCCTACTCCAGTTGTATTGCGATTTGTTTGTCATCTCAACCGATTTGAATCGTCACATATTTGAATCGATTTTCAACCAGCTAATCGGTTACATCCAGGCCCGATTCTACGGGGGTGCTCAAACTAAATCAATAGCACCCTCAGTTAATGCTGTAATAATGGCATTTCATTGCAGATTTGGCAAACTATCCAGTGCTTTATGGTTTGCGCTTTGGAGATCGGTTTCTATTTCAACATCTTTTGCAGCGTTGAGCAATGTAGCCAATCACAGACATATCTGTTGATTTCTTGAACCCAACAGCCAATCAGAGGCATTTAAGTTAGAATCCACTCACCGCTTAAATTGCCGCAGTTTTTGTTCTGGTGTTGCGTTCAGCATTATCTCATTATAACAAAGTGTAGACGCGATGTAAATAAGAGATTCAGCATAGAGAACTTAATTGATTATAATGTAACTTTGTGAGATCGCGATGAACCAATATGAGTGACAGCTTTTAGTGATTATAAAGGGAAAGCGCTTCCGCCATTGCAATGGATGGCACAAATATATAATTTGTGTAGTATATGTATATATATACAGTGGTGTGAAAAAGTGTTGGCCCCCTTCCTGATTTCTTATTTTTTTGCATGTTTGTCACACTTTAGTGTTTCAGATCATCAAACAAATTTAAATATTAGTAAAAGATAACACAAGTGAACACAACATGCAGTTTTTAAATGAAGGTTTTTATTATTAAGGGAAAACAAAACCCAAAACTACATGGCCCTGTGTGAAAAAGTGTATGCCCCCTAAACCTAATAACTGGTTCGGCCACAAAAAACATCGTCTTATATTCGGGACAATACGGTACATATGATAAAAAGCTGTATGTTTAATCAGCGAGTTGAAGAAGATCAGTTCAAAAGATCTGAAAAAATTGTTCATAAATATTTAGCATGAGTCATATGGACTTTTATAACACTTTTATGGTGCTGTTTTGTCAGTTTGCTAACACTTTAGATAAGGGAGCACTATTCACTATTAAAGTGCCCCTATTATGCCATTTCGAATATTGCCTTTCATGCAGTGTGTAACGTAGCTGTATGTGAATGTAAATGATCTCCAAAGTTGTAAAGTTTAAAGTGCATGATAAAAAAAGTTATTGTCTCCCAATAGAAAGAATCAACTCTGAACAGCCTAAACGTCAGTAATTCGAATCCCACTTCCGTGATTCGTGATTGCTACACGTCACGGGGTAACACATTTGCATTGTGAAACTATGAGCTATGTTCATGTGACTGATGATTGGAGTCATGACTAATGAAAATTCAGATTTGCTATCACATGATTACAGTTATTTTAAAATGTAACAATATGTTTTACTGTATTTTTGATCAAATAAATGCAGCCTTGGTAAGTATAAGAAACTTCTTGAAAAAACATTTTAAAAAAATCTCACCGACCCCAAACTTTTGAATGGTAGCGCATCAGCTATTCTTCAAAATAATACCATTCATGTTCCATAGAAGGAAGAAAGTCTTTTTTTTTTGGCGAACTATCCCTTAAAGATGGCTTTACAAAAAACATCAAAAGTGAAAAATTAACAAAGTCCATATACTATTCTCCACAAACTTATTTATCACTTTCAAACAGATGTCCTACAGTACAGTACTTTGAGGCATAGTGTAGGCCTATTACACTGTTTTTACACCTATTTATAGTACACTTATTTACTGAACTGTTGTGAAACTTCAAGGCTTCCCACTTTCCACTTTAGTGGCCCCTCACCCCACTTTTACCACATTTACACAGATAGTTCAGAGAGGACTCTCTCCAGGATTTTCAAGCACACTGGTAATTGTCAGGCGACAGGGACAAAAACTAAACGGCACACAGTGTCTGGACTGAAAACGGTGGCCTGGAGCGATTGCCTTAATGCTCTTGCTTGCTTGTTAGAGTTCTGTTTCCACTACAGGATCTACAAAGCAGCTTGCTAATCAGCAGGTAGAGGTTATGAGTCTGTTAATGAGCACAATTAGTCAATAACTGAAGAGCTAAGATGAGATTTACACAGGCTGTGGGATGTATACGCTTTCTCACGACAAGCCTAAAGACTATCTGAAAATAGGTAGAAAATAGGCTTAAAGATGCACTTAGCGATTTTTGAAAAACACTTTTGACCACAGTGTCGGACCGAGTCCCAAAACAACCTCGCAACCAATCAGCAGTAAGGGGCGTATCTAGTAATGAGAAGAGAGCACTCAGTGAGTGCACAGGACGGATATTAGCAGATCGACTATAGATAGCGAGATATGGCAGATAAAAAAATAGGAATAGAGGAACAAAACATTAAAAAGAAGGGTTACGATCAGGCAAGAGGTAGGACCCATGAAAATATTGGAGCAGCTTTCCAGCGGTGGAGAAACTCGAGTGGGAAGGCCTGGAATCGGACGCAGAGGTTGCTTTGTTTCTTCTTGATCAGTGAGTTATGTTGATTTTGCTTTTTCACACAACTATTCTGTGTTGGCTTTTGCTTGAATATGCTGCGGCCGGCAGGCATAGCAGATTCCGCCATCGTCGCTGCCAGGGTTGTGTATGTACGTGTGGGGCAGAGTTATCAAAATAGGGGCGATGTCCTGTTGGGGTATGGGCGTGTTTGTTTTGGTGCTTTCAAATATCAACATCGTTTAGCAAAAATCGCTCAGTGCACCTTTAACTAGTACTAAATTACAGGAAGGTGAGGGTGGACACTTTCAGTGAGTGAAGCAAGTGGAATATGTTGGATCAGTAAACTGACTGGCTGAAAAGTGAATCTGTGCAGCTAAGAACTTTCAGTAGCTATAAAACTGCTCTGCCACACTTGTTCACACTGTAATCATCGCTTGTACAATATGGTCAATGTTCTGCTCAAGTGGTCAGAAGTGGATAGTTTTAACACCTCGTTTTGTGCTGGAATAAACAGCTCATCTCTGTAGTTGACAGCCCTCGTTATTCAGATCTGATGTGTATTACCACCTCTTTCTGATGGCTGAATGACATTTTTATGAGTTTGTCAATAGCATTAGCACACTGTGATTTCAGTTGAAAAAATACAGGGTTAAATGGATTTCAGTCAAAGGTTTGGCTCAAGTAATTGTTTTTTTTTTTAGCAAGAAAGCATTAAATTGATCAAAAGTGAAAAAAAAAAAAAACGTAAAAAATGTATCGGAGTATCCACAAAAATATTAAGCAGCACAACCATTATCAACATTGATAATAATTAGAAATGTTTCTTGAGCACCAAATCAGCATATCAGAATGATTTCTGAAGGATCATGTGACACTGAAGACTGGAGTAATGATGCTGAACATTCAGCTTTGCCATTACAGGAATAATTGACATTTTAAATATATGATTATAAAAAGTTTTTAAATTGTAATAATATTTCACCGTTTTACTGTATTTTGATCAAATAAATGCAGCCTTGACGAGTATTAGAGACTTCTTTCAAAAACATAAAAATAACTAAAATATAATTTGATTTGACATGTAACAACTGGCTCAGTAGTACTGTAGCCAAAATGATTTGTGACTTTGCAGCTGCCCCATAAAATGAAAAGACACAAAACTGACAAAAAAAATCTGCTGCACCAATATAGAATCTGGAGTTATACCAGACACTGAAACTGTCATTAAAGTCACAGAAATAGTCTAGCACGTGTGTGGGTGAGAGTTTGTCAGAGGTCAGCTGTACAGCTGAGATTGACCCTGACATGCTTCCTGTGAAGAGTGAAGTAGCTCATTGACCTCTTCACTGGATTCAGTTACACTAGCAAAACCAAACCGGTAATAAAAGTGCATGACCATTACTTCAGCTGCCTTCTATTGGTCAACTTCAGTTATGATTTTAAATATGAAAAGATTGTAGAGAAAGAATTCTCTAATCATCTATAAAGATAATGGCAAGAAATTATTTAAATGTTAAATATGTGAATTAGTCCAAAGCATTTCCCAAAAAATGTGCTCAAAATTAAGCAGATATTATAAACTGATGTTAAATATTTTTGAGGGAGAAGCAATTTTCACAAACTTAATTAAATAATTAAAAACAATTTCTTTCAGACTGCCAGGACAAAATATTCTATTTCTTGTCATTATATTTAGTGGCTAGTTAGAAAAGCGATTCAGTTTCATTAGGAATTTATATTTAGCAAAATTAAAAAGAGGAAAAAGAGAATGTTAGCTTGA